ATAATTTTACATACAGAAAACATTAAGAAATAAATATAAAGCACTAACTTTAATGATAAATGAACATTACATACCTTTATTGAAGACTCTTGTTGGCGTATTGAAGAAGGCAAGGAGGGCAGAGAGAGTTGAGGTTAGTGTTTGGAAGGGGAATCCCCCTCCATAAGGACTTCAGATATCAAAGCCCTCTCTGGGGTTACTTCCCTTCTTTATCTTTTACTGTCACTGGACCCCTGTCACACTAAAAGTCTGTCCAGAGAGCTCTGTTTCTGGCATCTCTTTAAGATTTGCCTAAAATGGGACAAGGTATTGTCACTGATACAGCTTGTATCAGCTTGGTCAGGGTGATATTCTTCAACAAAAGTTTGCACCTCATTCCATTTTGCACAAATGTCCTTAATCACTGACGAAGGCACCTTCTCCCCTCTCTCCTCCTCCTCCTCTAAAGCAATTTCCTCAGCTGCAATCTGTTGCTGTTCCAGTTGAAAGTCTTGCTAAATGTACGCCACTTTCGCATTTTTCTACAATCTCTTTCTTGAATTCTATCATGTTCTCACTTTCTTTACCAAAGGGCTGACACTAGGAACTTCCTTTGGGCCCATGGTGGCTTATTTCACAGTCTTAATCAATAAACAAGCACAAAATTTGCAAAATGTTTCAGATGAATGGTCACTCAACCAATGACAGAGCCAGACTGAGGCTGTGTCCCAGTGGGCGGACACGTCTGATATGTAAGATTCCCGGGACAAGGTACGAAATCCAGAGCAAAATTTCGCCCAAAAAAGTGTTCCAAATCTGAAACATTTGATATCCGGTGCATGCGAAATCTGGGATTCCACTGTACTTACCATCTCCAGGACTCAAGTCCGGCCTGCCCATTTCCCTGAATCACTTCATAAATGCTACCTTGCTCACACTCCAACAGCACATCAAGTCCTAAAAACCATTTGTCTCCATTCACTCCTATCAAATATGCTCATGCATGCTTGCTGAAAGTAAAAAACCCCTAGCACACAAAACCTCCTTTATCCCCTACTGCCAAACTATCCTAGGCCAACCCCTACCAAGCCTTCCCTCCACTACAGATTTATACATTCTTGAAGTCATTCTATTTTGTTCTATCCTCCGAACTACCTCAACAGCCCCTCCTCAGCTCTCTGGATAATAGTTTTGGTAATCTTGCACCTCCTCCTAATTTCCAAACTATGAATTCTCTGCATTATCTTCACACCACACATTGACCTCAGACATGACATACTACTGCCTCCAGCCTTCTCCTTGTTTCAACATTCACCACCATGCTTCACACCCACAAAAGTGTTGGTATAACTATACTCTCAAATTCCCCTCTTTGTTTCCATGGACAAAGTTCTTTGTCTCCACAGACTCCTAAGTGCACCACTCACCCTGTTTCCCTCATCAATTCTATTATTCATCTCATCCTTCATAGACCCATCTCCTGACACATCCACTCCTAAATACATGTATCTGAATACATTCACCTCCTCCATACTCTCTTCCTGCAACCTGATATCCAATCTTTCGTCACAAAATTTTTTTTGTTATCCTCATCACCTTACTCTTTCTTATATTCACTTTTAATTTTCTTCCTTTACATACCCTACCAAACTCATCCACCAACCTCTGCAACTTCTGTTCAGAATCTCTCAAAAGCACAGTGTCATCAGCAAAGAGCAACTGTGACAACTCCCACTGTGTGTTAGATTCTTTATCTTTTAACCCCACACCTCTTGCCAACACCCGCGCATTCACTTCTCTACAACCCCATCTATAAATACAGTGGACCCCCGGTTTTCGTAATTAATCCATTCCAGAGAGAGAGTGACAAATTCTGAATTTTTTTTCCCCATAAGAAATAATTGAAATCCAATTAATACTTTTGGGTGTCTGAAACGGATTAACAAAAAATGTTTTCTACGTGAAACATACACTTACCCACACAGAAAACAACGATACATGAAAAATAAAACAATACATCACACTTACCTTTATTGAAGACATGGTGATGTATGGAAGAGGGGAGGAGGGGAGAAGATGGAGGAGTTTACAATTGTTTGGAAGGGGAATCCCCTTCCATAAAGACTTCAGGTACCAAGTTCTTATCCTGGGTTACTTCCCTTCTTTGTTTTTTAATGCCACTAGTACCAGCCTGAGAGTCACTGGACCCCTGTAGCTCAAAAAAGTGTTCCAGAGAGGTCTGTTTCTGGCAAATGTTAGGAATTGTGTTGGGAGACAGGACAAGATAGTCCTTCAATATGACACTAATATCAGCTCTATGGCTTATTTATCTAGCATAATTCATCTAATATGACATAATAAACAATATTAATAATATAGAAACATGATATATACTCTAGAATGAATAAAATATGGCATTAAGAATGTCACGAGTGGTGGTGTGTTGTTTGTTGTTGGGCGTATAAGGGCCACTGAAAGATAAGCCTTACATAGTGGTGGTGAAGGCGGCAGCAAGAGGCAGCATACGCGGCTGTGTTAGTCAGTAGCCCTATGTACCTCCAACAACAATGGAGAAGTCAGTTTCATGCTGTTCTTTTTCTAGCAATTAATCGCTTGACTTACTTGCTGCACTGTTAATGCTACACTTTATCGCTGACTGGCACTATAGCCTTTATCGACTCCTGCTGCTTTAGTATCTACGTATTACAGAATCACTGAAAAAGGCACATTCTCCCCTCTCTCTCTCAGCCCTTTACCGAAGGGCTGGCTGGCACTAGGAACTTTCTTTGGGCCCATGGTGGCTTATTTAGCAGTTGCAAGCAATAAAAAGAATGGAATAATACAAAATATATCGTATGAACACGTGGGATTGTCGTCACTGGCTGATAAACAATAGCACACTAACTGTAAATGGCGTGTCGGACCACTCGAGCTGTGCGGACACGTTCATGACGAATGACTAATACCGAGTTCAATGACGATCACCGAGCCAATATTTTGATGAAAAAACATTACTTATTCTGAATATTATGAATTCCGGTGAGAACGTAATCTGGGGGTCTACTGTATATTGAATAACCACGGTGACATCACACATCCTTGTCTAAGACCTACTTTTACTGGGAAATAATCTCCCTCTCTCCTACATACTCTAACCTGAGCCTCACTATCCTCATAAAAACTCTTCACTGCTTTCAGTAACCTACCTCCTATTCCATACACCTGCAACATCTGCCACATTGCCCTCCTATCCACCCTGTCATATGCCATTTCCAAATCCATAAATGCCACAAAAACCTCTTTACCCTTATCTAAATAGTGTTCACCTATATGTTTCACTGTAAACACGGTCTACAAACCCCCTACCTTTCCTAAAGCCTCCTTGTTCATCTGCTATCCTATTCTCTGTCTTATTCTTAATTCTTTCAATAATAACTACCATACACTTTACCAGGTATACTCAACAGACTTATTCCCCTATCATTTTTGCACTCTCTTTTGTCCCCTTTGCCTTTATACAAAGGAACTATGTATGCTCTCTGCCAATCCCTAGGTACCTTACCCTCTTCCAAACATTTATTAAATAGCACCAACCACTCCAAAACTATATCCCCACCTGCTTTTAACATTTCTGTGTACTTATATTAGCATTTATATGGACAAATGAATACACCCTTATCATAATCCTATGCCTCTCCATTTTCTACCATATCCAAGCCACTTCAAGAGCTCCCTCTTCAGCCCTCTGAATTATACCTTTGGTGACCCCACATCGCCTTTTAATTTCTACACTCTGGAGGTACTGAAGAGGAGTACCTCCAGCTGCCTCCTCACTACCTCTAGCTACCTCCTCCATGCTTCACACTCATATAAAAGTGTTGGTGCCACTATACTCTGATATGGTAGAACCCCTGCATCCACATATTCAGTTTCTGTGGTTTCAGTTATCCGCAGTTTACCATGGCCCAAAAATAACCCTTAATTTTGCTTAATAATGACCCGAAAGTACAAAAGTAGTGATGATGGTAATTCTTCAAAGCCTAAGAGAAGTCGTGAAGTGCTTCCATCAGTAAAAAAAAAGTGCTAATTCTCAACTTATTATGTGTAATTTATCAATTAAACTATCACAGGTATGCATGTAAATGAAAAAAGACTTATATATAGAGTTTGCAACTATCCACGGGTTTGGGTATCCACAGTAGGTCTTGGAATGTATCCTCCAAGGATACAGGGAAACTACTGCATACATATTCCATATTTTACCATCATGTACAGATAAAAATACTGGAAGGGTTTGTTATATTCACTGGGAAGCACTAAACCCAAGAGGGTTATACAGCACTTTGGGAATGGGAAGTAATTAGGCTGGTCTGAGGAAGGGGAGAGTAGCTCTAATTCCTAGGAGGACCTGTGAAGGTAATTATAAAAACTAAAAGTGAGATAATAACAATGTAAGAACATAAGGAGACAAGCTGCAGAGTGCCAACAACAATGGCTTAGTTAGTCATGATATTCTCCACTGAATCACTAAGCTTCAAAATGGGGAATATTATTATCATATTCATGGGCAAGAAGTGAACCCATAAGGGTCATACAGCACCTGAGGAATGGGAGGGAAGGAGTGCAATTAGGTTTGATCCCAAAATGGGAAGAGTAGCCCCAGTTTTCTGAATTAAGAACTCTTCACCAGCATTAAGTCTTCCCCATCTTTTCCTTACAGGAGGGACAGATGCAAGGAAATAGTTTGAAAGATGAGGGAAAACTGAGGTATACACCATGACAACAAACCAAAATTCTTCAATTACAACCACCACATATCTAACAATTTCTTAAACAGTGGACATTCTTTCAAAAGTAAGTTGATAGGAATATCAAACTTTAAATGCTCAGTATAACCAGGAGCTTTTCATAATGAATGAAATGTTACCAAATTTTGTAGAAAATGTATACATTTTTGGAAGTTAAATTTTTGCTTTGCTTTGCAAATGAACAATATTTTTCAGTGCCATAATATAACCTACCACTGTTTCCTGAGTCACCAGAACTTTCCTTCTTCATCGAGTCTGAAGACTTCTCTTTTCCGGATGGTTTGACCTCACTTCGAAAATACCTCAAAAGTGAGACTGCAAATAAGAAAAACATTGTTGAATGATACACAGTAAACATGAATAAAGATTAAAATTAAAACTATAGGATAAAGCACCACTGGTTGCAACAATCCTCAAATACAAATTTAAAATTTTTGCAAATATCAATACCAATACTCACTTTAAGGCCAATATCGATATCATCCAAATTAGCTGATATGCACCAAAACTGATACTGATAATACCAAAATTAGCAGATACCCATTGATACCTAAACTTATACTCAATTTTGGGAGATACTAATGCCAACAAAATTAGCTGATACCCTAACTGTGGCACATCCCTATTTAATACATCAATCAACCAAATTAATTTTAGTGTACAGAGTAGGGGGTCCAGATTTTAGTGATACAGGCAGTCTCTGGCCCTACTTTTTCCAAATTTCTTATATGAACCACTATAGCTCAATTTTTCTCAACTGCCAACCTCCCTTTGATGATGCGTTTCAAGAGTCTACTCCCAGAGCCCGGCCATGGGCCCAGCTTATCACATTCACAAATAATACAGTACACAAGCTGTTGACCCAGTCTAGACTTTGAGAGAATATGTACACTCCATATGTGACAATATTAACTAAATATGCCCTCAAAATTATTATAACCTGTCATTTCTTGTTAAATATAGCTAATAATAATGGAGATGATAACATCAAGAATGTTAATTTCTGGTAGTAGAGGTCGGGTCATGTGCTCATCAGTTATTGTTCTTATTATATTCATGGGGGAAGTGCTAAAACTCTAAGAGCCATATATCACCCTGGGAACTACGAGGTAGGGTTGGGGACTGGACAGACAAGGTGACAAACGGGGCTCTAGTCAGCAGCCAGGTCACGCGGGTGCCATTCCAAGGCGGTGGGGCAAGCCGCCTTTACTGTCATAATTCAAGGTTGTAACAATCAATGTTAATGGCCTGAGAGCCGAGGTTAAAAGAACAGGTTCAATTCAAGGAATAGTAGCTCAGGTCCAATTCCTTGACTCAAGTCCCTCACCAGCAGCAAGGTACTTACCTGAGGGGCATCTGCAAGCTAGTTTGTGTTTTTGGGGCTCTGTTAATGTGAAGTCTTCTGTTGCTGTATGTGATCTGTATATTGTGAAGTCCTCTGCTTGCAAATGTTTGTGGGCTGTAATGTGAGGTCTCTGTTGCTGTTTTATGTCATAACATGGAGTAGTCTGTTGCTGTTGAACTGTAATGTGAAGTCTCTGTTGCTGTTATGCCATAATGTGAAGTCCCTGTGGCTGTTATATGATGTGACAAAATCTCTATAGCCATTACTGCTGTTGTGCTGTAATGTGAAGTCTCTGTTGTTGTTATGTATCATAACATGGAGCCTCTGTTGCTGTTGTGCTGTAATGTGAAGTCCCTGTGGCTGTTATGAGCTGTGACAAAGTCTCTATAGCCATTACTGGTGTTGTGCTGTAATGTGAAGTCTGTTGCTAGTCTAGGTTATTAATCATGCTGTAATCTAAATTCTCCAACACCAATTAAGTCACTATTTGAAAGAATCATGAAAATCATAAGTTGCCACAATAAATGTACATTAGTTGATTTGTATTTGACTTCATCTTGGGATCACACTATTACAAAATCTAAGTCGTCCTTAAGTTCCTTTCCATACGGGAAAGTAAAGCTTCCTTATTTCTTAAAACTTTCATTTAACTACTGTGTGCTGCAGTGGCCCTTCCTCTCCATCTTCCATGTTGAAAAAAATTACCCAAAGCTCCTAAGGTTGTCTGAAATGAAAATAAGAAAGCACCTTTTTTAAAACGTTTAAGAAAAATGTCAAAACGCAAATTAAAACCTGAACAAATTTTTGGAAGAAAAACAAAAAGTAAGACTTTAATGGCTGATATTATTACAGTATTGTTATTATTAAAATAATTATTATTAAAATAATAATTATTATTATTATTATTATCATGGGGGAGTGTTAAACTTGTAGGGATTATACAGCTCCTGGGGGGGGGGAGGTTATAGAAAGCATTCAGGTTCAATTCAGGGAATTGGAGCACAGATCCAATTCCCTAGATCAAGAGCCCCTCACCACAGTTGCTGAGGAATATGAAGCAAATAGGTCTGACCCAAAGGGAAGAATGGCTCCAAGTCCTTGGAATGAGAGCCCATTACCAGCAACTCTGTTTAACAAATCCATTGAACCTTCCACCTTCCCATCCATACTCTAAAACAGCAAGGGTCACCCCAATCCTCAAAGGTGGTGATCCAACTGAGTTGAACAACTATAGGCCTATATCACACTTGCCCTTACTATCTAAAATCTTCAAAAAATTAATTCACAAACAAGTCTGCTCCTACTTAGTATCCCACAACATACTCAACCCGTCAGTTTGGGTTCAGACTGACAAAAAGTACTAATGATGCTATTAAGTTTGCTATTAAGTCATATCTGACATAGACAAGGATGTCACCCACAGCACCGTGTCTTCCTTTGCAGATGACACCCGAATCTGCATGACAGTGTCTTCCATTGCAGACATTGCAAGGCTCCAGGCGGACATCAACCAAATCTTTCAGTGGGCTGCAGAAAACAATATGAAGTTCAACGATGAGAAATTTCAATTACTCAGATATGGTAAACACGAGGAAATTAAATCTTCATCAGAGTACAAAACAAATTCTGGCCACAAAATAGAGTGAAACACCAACGTCAAAGACCTGAGAGTGATCATGTCGGAGGATCTCACCTTCAAGGACCATAACATTGTATCAATCGAATCTGCTAGAAAAATGACAGGATGGATAATGAGAACCTTCAAAACTAGGGAGGCCAAGCCCATGATGACACTCTTCAGGTCACTTGTTCTATCTAGGCTGGAATATTGCTGCACACTAACAGCACCTTTCAAGGCAGGTGAAATTGCTGACCTAGAAAATGTACAGAGAACCTTCACGGCGCGCATAACGGAGATAAAACACCTCAATTACTGGGAGCGCTTGAGGTTCCTGAACCTGTATTCCCTGGAACGCAGGTGGGAGAGATACACAATTATATACACCTGGAAAATCCTAGAGGGGCTAGTACCGAACTTGCACACGAAAATCACTCACTACGAAAGCAAAAGACTTGGCAGACGATGCAACATCCCCCCAATGAAAAGCAGGGGTGTCACTAGCACATTAAGAGACCATACAATAAGTGTCAGGGGCCCGAGACTGTTCAACTGCCTCCCAGCATACATAAGGGGGATTACCAACAGACCCCTGGCAGTCTTCAAGCTGGCACTGGACAAGCACCTAAAGTCGGTTCCTGACCAGCTGGGCTGTGGCTCGTACGTTGGTTTGCGTGCAGCCAGCAGTAACAGCCTGGTTGATCAGGCTCTGATCCACCAGGAGGCCTGGTCACAGACCGGGCCGTGGGGGCGTTGACCCCCGGAACTCTCTCCAGGTAAACTCCAGGTAATACAAGGGGCTTTTGGCATGTACACTCAACTATTATATTCCTTTGTACAACTACGTTTCATGTCAAAATAAAATATTATTATTATTATTATTAAAGGTTTTCTAAATGTTTCTCTTCAAAGTGTGAGATATTTGTGACTCTTTTCAGCCATGGCATCATAAAGAACCAACCATGAGCAGCACTAAGTAACATGACACTAGGTAGAACCAACCACAGGTGACACTGACATGACACTTGGTAGAACTAACCCTGAGCAACAGTGACATGACACTAGTCAGAATCAACCATAGGTGACAGTGACATGACACTAGGTAGAACCAACCATGAGAAGTACCGACATAACACTAGGCAGAACCAACCTTAGCCAGCACTAAGTGACATGACACCAGGTAGAACCAACCCTAGCCAGCACTAACATGACACCAGGTAGAATCAACTCTAGCCAGCACTAAGTGGCATGCAACTAGGTAGAACCAACCATGGGTGGCAGTGCAATGACAAAATAGAACTAGCTATGGGTGAATGTGGTAGACTGAAGGAATGAATTAAAAAATGAGGTAGAATATTAAGTGCTAAACCACTGGAAATTACAAAAAAAATATATGATAATCAAATTATAAAGATATAAGCAGAGCTCTGCTCTTGTAATAACAAATACCCATAAGTAATTACAATCCTGGGTGGTCCCAGAAACTGGAGCACAACCCAGAGTAGTCCTAGGAATTACAACATAACCCTAAGGGGTCACAGGCACTGAAACACTTCACTGAGTGATCAGAGGAACTGGAACACAATGCTGGGTGGTCTCAGGAATTTAAACTCAACTCTGGTTGATTGCAGGAATTGAAGAACAACCCTGGGAGATGCCAGGAACTGGAGCACAATGTTGGGTGGTCCCAGGTAATGGAGAACAACCCAGGGAGATACCAAGAACTGGAGCACAACTGGATGGTCTCAGGAACTGGAGCACAATGCTGGGTGGTCTCAGGTAGTGAAGAACAACCCTGGGAGATTCCAGGAACTGGAGCACAATGTTGGGTGGTCTCAGGTAATGGAGAACAACCCTACCTGGAGTCTACCTGGAGGGTATTCTGGGGATCAACTCCCCCACGGCCCGGTCCACGACCAGGTCTCCCAGTGGATCAGGGCCTGATCAATGAGGCTGTTACTGCTGGCAGCACGCAATCCAATGTACGAACCACAGCCTGGCTGATCCGGCACCAACTTTAGGTATCTGTCCAGCTGCCTCTTGAAGACAACCAGGGGTCTACTGGTAATCCCCCTTATTGCTGGTGAGAGGCTGTTGAACAGTCTTGGGCCCTGGAGATACCAAGAACTGGAGCACAACTGGATGGTCCCAGGAACTGGAGCACAATGTTGGGTGGTCTTGGGTAATGAAGAACAACCCTGGGAGATCCCAGGAACTGGAGCACAACTGGATGGTCCCAAGAACTGGAGCACAACTGGATGGTCCCAGGAACTGGAGCACAATGTTGAGTGGGCTTGGGTAATGGAGAACAACCCTGGGAGATCCCAGGAACTGGAGCACAATACTTGGTGGTCTCAGGTAATGGAGAAGAACCCTGGGAGATCCCAGGACTTGGAGCACTACTCCAGTTGGCCTACAGAGATGGAGGACAACCCTGGTTGAGTAAAGGAACTGAAGTACAACCCTGGGTGGTGCCAGGAGTTGGAGCACAACACTGTACTATGTAGTGTCCACATCTAAAGGCACATGTGGGGTGAGACAAAAAAAAATCTAAGAACAGTTGCAAAATGGATCTAGGAGCCAAAAAACAATAACAAGGAGATATGATGAAAGGCTGAAAGCAACAAAGATATAATAACAACCTATAAGGTTATATAAGAATATGAAAAAACAGATGACATCAAGAAGTGAAACACTGCAAATAAGTAACATTCAAGCCTTAGTAATTGCCCAAAATGCATTGCATAATTAGTGTTTTTTTTGTGCCTACCAATGTTTAATTACATGTAAACTACATTATTTATACCGCATAAAGAAATAAAAATTGTATTTGTGATGTATTAGGTAAATCTTGGTTAACACTACATAATGTACATTTTGGGTGTCTATCATGTGTGCCCTCAAGATCACTGCAAAAAAAATTATGTTACGTACATAAAGCCTAAAAAAAATTTTTTAGTCGTAATAAAAGATCTCAATATACAAATTGAGGAAAAAAATAGGACCGAAAGGGTACCGGAAAGTAATCAGGCTTGATCCGAGGAAGGAGATGGCAACTCCAGTTCCTTGAATTACGAGTTCTTCACGAGCATCAAGAAACTGAACTTCAAAGAAAAATCATCGGGTCCTTCACACAAGCCAAGATGCTTAGGTGACTTCACATGGTCTCCCAAGACACCTCAAGATGCTCTCCTCCTCCACGCATTTCCAACATAATTCTAATATAAATATGGTGAGATAGAGGTGCTAGGAGCTACGTAGACACTGGCAGAGAGGTAAAACAGGGCATTATAACACAGCGTGGCAGTGTAGTGTATACCAGGGCAGCGGGCTCCGGGAAGGTAAACAAGAACATTCAAAAATGCAACTTATACTGTCTCACGTCTCATAAATCTCTTTTTATTCATCCCAAGTCTCCTCTTCACCACTAACAAATAACAAAGACCCTTAAGAAAACTTACTATTGAAACGCTTTTAAAAACTGAGTACGTGTTTTTTTTTTAACCCTCGATTCACATGAACTATGAATGGTCAAAGTTTTTAGTAGTTCGTGAAATTACATTCTTTTAGAATAATTATAATCATCATAATTATGGGGAACTAAACTCGTAGGGGCCATGCAGTGCCATGGAAATGATAATTAATTATATTTAATGTAAGGGTAGCTCCAATTCCCCGCATCATGAGATTTTTACTGGCTTCAAAAATCTTCCTTGGCTGGTTACATTCTTTTAGTCTCACATATTTACCCTATTTAATTTTTAATTTAATTAAGA